GTGTGGTAGTTAAGTTTGTGTGTCAACTTGGCTGGGCCTGGTTGAGTGGCTGGGCAGCTGGATGTAGTATTCCCCATGATGAGATTGGTAATCACTCTATGGTGTAATCTACTCTGAGCAGCTGAGTAGGCAGCTACTCAGCTACTCGGCTGCCTTAGGGCTGTGGTCTGCTTCCTGTATATAAGGAGAAGCCTTGGGGAATGGTCTCTAGCATATGGCACGCTTGGACCCTACATGTAGCCATGTTGTTGTTCAGCAGGCTGCCATGCTCTGCTGACCTTGGGATTTTCAATGAGCTTGAATGAATGGTCTGCCTTGTGGTTTGGTAACATTGAGACTGTGCCTTTTTACTTGTCAACCTTGGGCTTGTCAGCCTCAGCAGCCAGTAGCTGTCTGAGTAAAGAAAAGCCTCCAGCTTCAGTGGGCTGGGAGCAGGAGCAGAGCTGAAGCCCAAGGCTTGAAGGGTTTTCACCCAGCCCCTAGAGCCTGGCACTCTGAACTCAGACTTAAGGCCTCCAAACTGTAAGAGAATAAACTCCCGTTTGTTCAGCCATCCCATTAGTAGTATCTTCCTGTCAGAGCGGCACTAGGTAACCAGAGCAGTAGGTCACCAGGTCTTTCTTCTGAGGCACCCATGGGTAGGCTCAACCCTCCAGCCTTTTGGTTGGCAGCAGAGCACGTGAACCATTCACACCACCCAGGGACGCCAATTGTGCCTGAACCAAACCAAACCAAGCTCACTGATGTCGGGTTGATTTGACTCATAGCAACCCCTCCTTGGGTTTCCGAGGCAGTATCTCTACAGAAGTAGATTGCCCAACCTTCCTTCCAAGGAGTGGCTGGTGGGTTTGAACCGCCACTGGTTAGCAGTCAAGTGCCTTAGGCACTCCGCCACCAGAGGTTCTTAAGAGGATGAAAATCAGCTCTTAGGGAGTAAAATTTCTCTCACTCTTTTTTATGTGTTAAATACAAATATCCACACAGAAAAAGAAAAGACAAAAAGTAAACCTGTTGTCATAGAGTCAATTCCGACTTAGGGCAACCCCCTGTATTACAGAGTAGAACTCCATGGGGTTTTCTTGGCTGTAATCTTTATGGGCACTTGACTGCTAACCAGAAGGCTGGCGGTTCAAACTCACCAGCCACTCCTCAGAAGGAAGGTTGGGCAATCTACTTCCATAGTGATACTGCCTCAGAAACCCAAGGAGGGGTCGCTATGAGTCGGGTCCGACTCGATGGCACATAACAACAACAACAACAATCTTTATGGAAGCAGATGGCCAGGTCTTTCTTCCATGGTTTCTCAGTGGGTTCAAACTGTCAACTTCAAGTTAGTTGTTATTGTTTGCCACTGACTTGATTCTGACTCAATAGCAACCCTATAGGATAGAGTAGAACTGCCCCATAGGGTTTCTGAGGCTGTAATCTTTAAGAATGCAGACTGCCTCATCCTTCACCTTCAGAGTAGCTGGTGGGTTTGAACCACCGAGGTTTCAGCCGAGCTCTTCACTGCTGCACCACCAGGGCTCCTTTGTGGGTTCATGGTCAAGTGCAGTCAGAAGGCTCCTGAGAAGTGAGGATGGTGAGACTTCTCGTGCACTTTGCACATGTCAGGAGGGACCAGTCCCTGGAGAAGGATATCAAGCTTGGTGGAGGGTCAGCGAAAAAGAGGAAGACCCTCAATGAGATGGACTGACACAGTGACTACAGCAATGGGCCCAGACACAGCAAGATTGCGAGGATGGTGCAGGACCGGGCAGTGCTTTGTTCTGTTGGACCCAGGATCACTATTAGTCGGAGCTGCCCGGGTGTCACTAACAATAGCCAAGGGCAAATGGTTTATGCATAAACAGATATCAGTGATGTTAAAAGGTGCAAGGGGATGATTAGGGAAAAAAAAAATCTAGTAAGCTCCTGGGGCGGGGGGTGTCAGTAGAGGAGTGGGAGGGTAGAGACACAGTGGTCTAAGCTAATCCAGAGCTCACTGCAGGGTCCAAGGCTTCCAGCAGGGTCCTCCCCAGCCAGGCATGCTTCAAGTCATGCCCGAGTCAGTCCTACAGCAGGCAGTCACCCTCCTGTGGGCAGCCTCTGTCTGAGGGGCCTGTAGACTTTCCACCTTCCTCTCCTCCCCTGTTCTCCTGCCCCAGGTGGGTTTTCTTGCACGAGAAGGCATACCAGGTGCGGGACACAGCCATCGAGTCCTCCGTGGTCACCAAGGTGAAAGGCTTCGGACGCTATGCCAACAGAGTCATGGACGTGTCTGATTATGTGACCCCACCCCAGGTACAGTGCCCCACCCCGCCCAGGGGCAGTGTGGACTCCCAGACCCTGGGCAGCTAGGAGGGGAGCCAGCTGCGGAGAGGAGTGCCCATGGGACTCCAAGCCAGAATGATCCAGAGGAAACCCCAAGCCTGTACCCAGCAGCAGGGAGATGTGGTAGGGGCTTGGACCTGCCCTCTGGTGTGAGCTATTGGGCATCAGGAAAGCGGGCTCCACTCTGAGCCCTCTGCAACCCCAGGAACAGCTCACAAAGGGAGTGAGAGAGGCCATATGGTGGCTAGAAAGAGCCAGGGTCAGATGCCAGCCCTCCAGCCCTCCCCTTGTCAGCACATGACCAGGGACGTATCACCTACCTGGAACCTCAGTCTTTCCATCTGTGGACTAAGGGTAAGAACAGCGTCTGCTCACTGACTGGGCTGTGTGTACTCTCTCCTCATCTCTTTCCTCCCTAGGGCACCTCTGTCTTTGTCATCATCACCAAGATGATTGTTACTGAAAACCAGATGCAAGGATTCTGCCCAGAGGTGAGGGGTGGGTGGGAGTTTGCATGGAGCAGGTCGAGGGAGAAATGAGGTGGGGGGCGGGTGGCAGGGAGAGGCGGGGATGTAGGCTGTGATCCTGTGACCCTGGACCTCTGCCCTCCAGAGGCTGCTGATGGTGAGGTGGCAGTGGGAGCCGAGGGGGTCCCCCAGGGCCAGCGCAGGGTCCTTCACCGCCCTGCAAATGTCTTCCCACAGAGCGAGGAGAAGTACCGCTGTGTCTCCGACAGTCAGTGCCGGTCCCAGCGCTTTGCCAGCGGGGGTGAGTGCAGCCCTTCCCTACCTCCCCATCCTCTCGCACCGCACCCCCGGAATGTTAAGTGGAGGCCTGAAGGGGAAGCCTATGCTGGGAACGGATGAGGGAACTACCCATCCGGAGTAAAGCCTGGGAGTGTGTGCACGCCCCCTGGGTGCCATGGCTCCGCCCCAGAATTTCCAATCCAGGGTGGAGGTGACAGGTGTGCCACACAAGGATCTGTGGGAGCCCGGGGGAGAGAGAAGAATTGGTTCGACTCGGTAGCCCAAGGGGGCTTCCGAAAGCAGCGAGGTTTGCACTGGCCCTGAGGCTGGGTGGGGTTTGGCGGGGGGCGGGGCACTCCAGGCAGAAGGAACAGCCACAGCAAAGGCTCAGAGCTGAGAAAGACCACAATGAGATTGGGGAGCTAGGGTGCTGGGGCGATGGGGCTTGGAGTGTGCTAAGGGGGTGGGGAGCAGGAGGAACGGGGTGCGAGAGTGCCCTCTGCAGGGTGAAAGGGCCACGGCTGGACTCCCCGACTCCTTGGTGCTGCCTGTCCTTCCCTCCACCAGCCCTAGACCCTGTGTGTGTGTTGCGGGGCGGGGGGTTCCATGTGGCGGGGGAAGGGGGGGGGGGGGGGGGGGGGGGGGGTTGCTGATGAAGAGGGATGGGGTGAGGACGGAGTGATAAAGGGGCAGGCAGTCACCCAGCGGTGTGGCTCCACCCTCACAGGGATCCTCACCGGCAAATGCGTGAACTACAGCTTGGAGCTCCGCACCTGTGAGATCCAGGGCTGGTGTCCCACCGAGGTGGACACAGTGGAAATGTAAGGAGGGGAGAGGACCCCAACCCCGCTCCCCGTTGCCAATGGGGAGCCCTGCATCTCTGAGTTGCAGAGGCTCTCTGGGCCCCTCTTACTGTGCATTCCTGGGGCAGGGATGTGTACCCAGAACATCATGCCCCCAGACTCTCTCACCCACCACCCTTGACTCCCCCTCAGCAGAGTGTCCTTTCTGTATGAGGAAGGAGCTCTGGAGCATAGTGGGTAAGGCATTTGGCTGCTAACTAGAAGGTCAGCGGTTCAAATCCACCACCTGCTCTGTAGGAGGAAGATGAGGCAATTTACTTCCGTAAAGATGTACAGCCTTGGAAACCCAATGGGGAGGTCGCTTATGAGTTGATATGGACTGGATGATGGTGGGTTTGGTTTTATGTATGAGGCAGAGGCCATGGCCATGCCCTTGGGGGGACTGCCATCAGGATAGGTGGCCCCTGCTGTGAAAACCCCCACTGCCCCCTCTTCCTCCTAAGACACTAAGGCCTCCTGCTCTCTCCACAGGCCTGTCATGACGGAAGCAGAAGACTTCACTATTTTCATTAAGAACAGCATCCGTTTCCCTCTCTTCAACTTTGAGAAGTGAGTCCTAGCTCCCTCCCTAAAGCAATGATGCAGTGCCACCACTCACCTCCTCAGCCGCCTCCCTAGTGTCCCCCCCCATCTCCCCTCACCTCCCTGGGGCACCTATTCCCACTCCCCAACCCCACCTGGGCCCCAGGACCAGGTTGTCCTCAGGACCAACTTCTCTGCCAACTTCCCTGATTTGGGGCTCAGAATTCAAAGGAGAGTTTGGCTTGGGGTACGGGTGGGAGGACAGCTTACACCTGGCCCTGGGGACAAGGACACCTCCAGAGGCTGGGGCCCAAGAGGCCCATCCGACTTCTTTTCCCCCACCTCAAGCCCACGTGTGGGTCCCTTTTCTCTTAGCCAAGTCAGCCCCTCTGCACTGACTTAGTCATTCAACTGCTGCCCAGAGCACACTGGCTGGGTGCAGAGCACAGTGCCAAAGGGTGATCAGGAGAGACGCCTGCCCCCTGGAGGCACCAGCCCAGGAGCTGGAAGGAGATTAGATACGGATGCAGATAACCCTAATACAAGGTAGAGGGTGATGGGGTTTCAAGAAAGATGCGAGGAGACAGGTCAGGACTCAGATCCCCCAACCCCCCACCCTGAGCCCAGAGGCTCCAGAAAGCTGAGACACTGGGACGTGGGCTGTCTTCACAGTAGGAATTCCTGGGCAGTGGAAGGGTCCCGGGTGGCACAAATTGTTTGTACTCGACACTAACCTAAAGGTTGGTGGTTCGAATCCACCAGCAATGGAGCAGAAGAAAAGCCTAATGAACCGCTTATGTAAAGATTACAGGCAAAAAAAAAACAAAAAAAACAACAACAACCCTATGGGGCAGTTCTACTCTGGAACAGGGGTCACTAGGGGGTCAGGATTGACCCCAAGGCAACAGGTTTGGGGTTTTTGTTTTTTGTTTGGGTGGTGTAAATGGCTTAGTGCTGGGCTGCTAATTGAAAGGTTAGGGGTTCCACCCCACCGGAAGTGCCTTGGAAGACAGCTTTGCATCTGCTCCAGAAAGCTCACAGCCACGAGACCCCTGGGGGACACAGATGCACCCTGCACACATGGAATCAACTCCATGGCAACTGGATTTTTTCTTTTTCTTTGGCTCCATATTAACCTTGGGCCTTGCCTCTCTCCTCTCCTCTTCCCAGGGGAAACCTCCTTCCCAACCTGACAGCCGCTGATATAAAAACCTGCCGCTTTCACCCCGACAAGGCCCCCTTCTGCCCCATCTTGCGGGTGGGGGACGTGGTCAAGTTTGCAGGGCAGGATTTTGCCAAACTGGCCAGCACGGTGAGGACACTGCTACTCTTCCTTGATCTGAGAGCCGGGGGGCCTAGCTCTTCCCTGGAATTCGGGCCCTTTGTCAGGCAGAGGGGATACTCAGGAAGAGGGAGGTGAAGTGAGACACCGCCACCTGGTGGGCTCATCCCAGGCCTGGAACTGGCTTTGTGCCTGAATCCTTTCTATCTGCCCTGCCCTGAGTGGTCTTGCTTCTCCCACCCCTGCCCCTCAAGCCTCAGTTTCCATCCCCACCTTCACCTGCAAGGAGAGACTTCTGATCTATGAAAAGGTCCAGGTGGTGAGAAAGTGGACCTGTAGGCCACTCTCTCTCCTGTGTTACATACAGTTAAGGGGCTGCAGAATCTGCAGATTCTCACATCAGCTACAGGACTCCTTCCCTTAGCAACGTGTAACAAGTCACTTCTTTCTCCCTACCTTAGTCCTCCACCTAGAAAATGGAGAGAAACAAATTGTCCCGCCCCTCACCCCACGCCCCTGCCCGGCTGAGGACTGGGGGTCGCAGGGGAGAGCTCATATCTGCTACCTTCTCCAGGGCGGTGTTCTGGGCATTAAGATCGGCTGGGTGTGTGACCTGGACAAGGACTGGGACCAATGCATCCCCAAGTACTCCTTCACCCGGCTTGATGGTGTTTCTCAGAAGAGCAACGTCTCCCCGGGCTACAACTTCAGGTAACCCCCTAGTATCCCCCATGGCACCAGGACAAGGCTGCAGGGGCTGGTCTAAAGAACTTTATCTCAACCAGCAGCGCATACTGGGAAGAAAAGGCCCCATGTTTCCCCATCAGGTTCATGCTCCAAGTGAGCAGGACATTCTAACGATTCAGCCTCTCAGTGACGTGTGGGTTGCCCTCGGTCATTGTGGCTTTCCTGTCACTGGAAGGGACCACGCCAAGGAGGCACACTCCAAGCTGGCAGTTGGATCAGATGGCCTTCTCTTGAAATGTTGGGATTCTGTGCTTCTCTGACCCCCTTCTTAGGTCTGGCCTAAGAATAAAACTATAACAGGCCTAATAACTCCCAGATAGCTTGTTCTCTCTCCTGTGCCTGAATTTTCTAAGGTTTCGGACTCCACAAAGCAAGGGCAATAACTGGTATCATTTTACAAGATGTAATTTTTTATTTCTGTCTATAACCAAGGAGCCCTGGTGGTGCGGTGGTTAAAGCACTCAGCCGCTGACCAAAAGGTCAGCGGTTTGAACTCACCAGCTGCTCCGTGGGAGAAAGACGAGGCAGTTGCTTCCATAAAGATTTATGGCCTTGGAAACCTTACAGGGCAGTTTTCTGTCCTGTAGGGTGCTATGAGTTGGAACTGACTTGATGGCAGTAGGTTGGGTCCATACCAGGAACTTTCATCTGAGATGCAAATAACAATAATGACGGTCATTTCTTCTGCTTCCATGTCTTTCCAAACAAGAGCTCAAATCGGTCTCCAAATAGCACCACATTTATATTCCTAAGGGCCTGAGACTAAAGGAATCTTCTCTTCCCTTTTTCCAGTTTGAAGGAAGGGAAAGGAAAAGCCAAGGGAGAAACTATTTAGAACCAGCTAAAAGTCTTTGCCCGAGGGGATGGCCTCGGGCCTAAAGCAGTCCCCTGGCTGGCGGTTCAAACCCACCAGCCACTCCCCGCCAGGTAGCCAGGTAGACCGGCTGTCTCTTTCTAGGAGCTCTGGTAGCACAGTGCCTAAGGCACTTGACTGCTAACCAGAAGGCTGGTGGTTCAAACCTACCAGCCACTCCTCGGAAGGAAGGTTGGGCAATCTACTTCCGTAGTGATACCGCCTTGGAAACCCAAGGAGGGGTCGCTATGAGTCGGGTCCAACTCAACGGCACATAACAACAACAAAAGTCTTTGAGCAAGCCCTTGACCCTCTCCCATCTAAATTTCCCTGTCTGTGGAATGACGGTAAGAACCAGCTGCGTGGGGTAGACTCTGTCTCGTAGCGACTCCACATTGTCAGAGTAGGACCGTGTTCGGTGGGGTCGGCAATGGCTGGTTTTCTCAGAACAGGTCACCAGGCCTTCCTTCTGGAGCACCTGGGAATGGAATCCAACCTCCAACCTTTCGGTCCACAGTGGAGCGTGCTAACGGTCTGCCCCGCCCACGGAACCTCCTAAAGTGAGGAGAGTGTCACTGCTATCTTGAGGACCTGTGAGCATGACAAACTTCATCTCTCTGTTTTGTTTTTTCCTTAATTTTTGACCCAGAAGTTTCTGGCGTGGTCATGATTAAACACACACCATACATACATTAAACAGGCTGAATGGCAAACAAAGCACATGTAAGGATATATATTCAGTGGCACATCCAAAGGATTGTTACTCAGATTTCTTTTGTTTTATAGCCCCATTCATCGTATCGCTATTTTACAGTATAATGGTATACACAGCAACAATCACCATTGCATCTTTATTTGTAACTTTAAAAAATAATGACACACCCCATTAAGCTTCACATTTAATAGCTTAAAATGTATATTCTCTTGAAAGGAGAATTTTTAAAAATTGAAAATGCTTGCAGAGTCAACTCCAAACTTTAAAAAACCATAGGAAACAACACATATTTTAAAGTAGGTTAAAAATACTGCCTGGCTCACTGGCAGAAATTGGCATGTTTATTCAGTCAGTACATCACACTGAAATCAATACAAAGGATATTTGTATGGCGGCTTAAAATAGCAGCATATTAATAAAATTCTCATGATCCAAAATGCAAGTTTTCATCTTCAGAACTTCCCTCTGGCCATTGGGAATTCTTCAATCTTCCAAATAACTCATTTGGCAGGAAAGCATATGCAGAATATAACTCTCATGAAGACCCTAACCAGTGATGTCATACAGTTTGAGAACAAGGCCTTTCATTTCAGAGGAATTGGTTAGTTTTAGGGTGCTATAGCTGCCCCACATCCTGTCCTAGGCACAGCAGGGCATAAGATAGGCCAAGTCTTTTTTTTTTTT